AGTTACATAACACATAGTGCAGAATTGAAACAAAACTTCCTGACTCTACACCAAAAAGTGCAAAACCCATCCAGATGCTCAACACAACAGTGGATAATTTACAATTGAAAACTAATGCTTAACATCCATTTCAGCAATCAGAATTATCACCTATTGATGTAAAAAGATGCCCAGGCCACCATAAGTGAGGAAAAACAGTCTCAACTGAGCAACTTAGGGAGATTACCAAGAAAAGTGAACGAAACGTGCTCAACTAAAATCTAACATCTCACAATCACAGCTGTCTATTTTCAAGGTCACTTGCTGTCTGTCAGCAGACTCGCATGCCTATAGATCGTATTCCAAAACCTGACGCCTGATGAGAGCTTCTCTCTTCTTTTCTGTCAAGATCTGAATCAAGTTTCATGTGCCATTAAGGAGGCAGGATCCATGCATGCCGTGCTACATGGCCAAGGGCCAGCCACAGCCCACTGTTGCATATGCATCCATGACAGATGAGACATTTCTTTCCAAAGAACAGACAGTGGTGCCACCTCTATTGAGCAATGAACCAACTTCTCATGTTCAACCTACCGATTAACAATTAACAAGGATATGGCAATTTTAATTCAACAACACACACAGCAACAATGTATTTGGAATTAGTGTTCTTACCACGCTGGATCCCAACTTGTGTTGGCCGAGGACTCCTGCACAGGTGAGCAATCAGCTCACGGTACACACACTCGCCCTGGTCGGCAAGAGGTTGAAGAAGGGGGTGAGCTCAGAGCACACACATAGCACAAGCACCAGCGTTGGCCGAACTCTGCTTCAAGCGTGGCTTGCTGAACTGAAGATTTCTATTGCTATGTCATGAGTATATACACAACTCTAGTTGTACCCTCCGGGTACAAGGGAGTATGGCGAGTACACCAACTCCTGCCTACTCCTAGTACAAAGGTACAACAAGTACATGTACCTACCATTACATGACATGGCCTACTGCCATGCTGCTACAGGAGCAGTGATTGGACAACAGGGCTGACCAAAGGCCACCACCCTATTGCGCGTGCGTGGGAAAGAAGGGGAGCAACAGATTACATTTTACAATTCTTTCCCTAATCGTGTTGCTAACCCGAGGTCGGAACCTCCACCATGCCAATCCTTCTTCAGCTCTGAGAACCGAAGACGGCCGAGTGACTTGGTGAGGATATCAGTGAGTTGCTGACCAGTTTCGACGAACTCGATGACGATCTACCCTCTATCGACATGGTCCCTGAGAAAGTGGAACTTGATGTTGATGTGCTTGCTCTGGTCGTGGAGGATCAGGTTATTGGCGAGGGCTAGGGTGGGCTGGTTGTCCACCATCAGTGCTGGCGGACGAGCTTCCTCGCCGGTCAGCTCGCCCACCAGCCAACGCAGCCACATGACTCGGCACGCCGCTATAGCCGCCGCCACGTACTCCGCCTCGCACGTAGACAGCGCCACCACCTTCTACTTCAACGACAGCCATGAAATTGGGTCCAAGACGAGGAAGATGAGCACACTCGAAGTGCTCTTCCGCCCATCGATGTCGCCCGCCATGTCTGCGTCGCTGAAGATCGTGAGCCGCATCACACTTCTTTAGTCGGTCATGGGGAAGACGATCCCTTGATCCACCATCCCCTTGACGTAGCGCAGCAGCCGCTTCACCGTGGCCCAATGATCCTCTCGGGGATCCTCCATGAAGCGGCTGACATAGCCCATGGCGAATGCAATGTCCGACATCGTGTGGACTAGGTAGCGTAGCCCGCCGACGATGCTCCGGTAGAGTGTTGCATCCACCTTCGCCGCGGTACTGGCCTTTGACAGCTTCAGCCGCTCCTCCATCGGAGTCGCGCATGGCTTGCAATCAGCCATGTCGCTCCGCTCTAACAATTTCGCCACATACGCGCTCTGACCGAGCGTGAGAGCCTCCTTCCCCTGTTTCACCTCAATGCTGAGGTAATAGGAGAGCGTGCCGAGATCCCTCATTCGAAAACAAGCCGCCATCTCACGCTTGAAGACGTCGATGTCCTCTGCACGCACGCCGGTGATGATCAAGTCGTCCACATACACACTAACGACGAGTTCCTCCTTCCCCCGTCGCTGCATGTAGAGTGCATGCATTATTACTACTGTAGCGTGAACCAAGCGTACCAGCGTGGCATCAAGCTTGGCGTTCCCACTCCTTGGGGCTGGCGTAGCCCGTAGAACGCCTTACCGTCGGAGCACCTTGTGCTCTGCTCTCTTCTACAAGCCGGAGCTTACTTGATGAAGAGCGTCCCCTTGACTTTCGCCGCCGTTGAAGAAGGCCGATTTGGCGTCCGGTGATGAACACACCGGTCGCCTTCGCTTTTGCGAGCAGCAGCGATCGGATGGACTCTATGCGCGCCACCAGCACAAAGACTTCCTCGAAGTCAATGCCTTCGCGCTGGATGAAGCCACGGGCGATGAGGCGTGCCTTGTTCTTGACGATGGCGCCGCGCTCGTCCTTCTTCACCTTGTATACCCACTTCAGTCTGAACGGACGGCATCCTGGAGGTGGATCAATAGGCTCTCTTATTCTCCTCGATCGCCTTCATCTCCTCCAGCATCGCCTATCGCTAATTGGCGTCGTGTTCAGCCAGCGCGATCGTGGGCGGCTCCTCTACACTGACGAGAAGCAGCTCTGGATTGTCGAGCAGCCGACTTGCCAAGCCTGAGGCCCCTGCATTGCCGACGTTGTTGTCGAACCTACGGAACCACACCTCCTCGCCGTCGTGGAAGGCATCCACGAACTCGCTGATGTCGCTTGAAGCAGACGTGAACTCGATTGGTGTCGATGAAGGAGTCCCCTCTTTTGCCATAGTGGTCGGCACTACTGCTGGAGTGCTCGGCACCACCTCTTTGGAGTGGTCGGTACCTTTGCTAGAGCGCTTTCGGCACCCTTTGTTGGGCGCTCGGCACCCTTGTTGGACCGCTTCGGCACCACTTCTAGAGTGGTCGGCATCATTTGTAGGACTGCTCGGCTCCACTCTCGAGTGGTCGGATCCTTTCACCGGAGTGGTCGGCACCTCCTCTCCACTATCTCCACCACCATAGATGACTAAGTGCTCGGCAGCGAAGGTCTTTGCTGAAGCCGCCAGCTTCCCCCGTGCCCGGACCCTCCCTGTCCTAGGCCGTCTTCTCGTCGAACATGACATCATGTGAGACAACCTCCTTGCCTCCTTGCCTCGTAGCCAGGAGCACCATCAGCGTGCTCCTGTCTTCCAGCTTGGTGAGGAATAGCTTCGTCTTCTTGACATAGCCAAAGCAGCTGAATGTCGTGAGAAAGGACACGTCCCGCTTATGCCCGTACCATGCTTCGAACGGTGTCACGCCCTTTAGGGACTTCATCGGCGCACGATTGAGGATGAACACCGCCGCTGTCACCGCCTTACCCCAGAACTCTGCCGGCATGCTCTTGGCCTTTATCATGGATCAAGCCATGCCGACCACCGTCTGGTTCCACTGTTCCACCATGCCATTCTGCTGTGACGAGTACGGCGCGATGTGGTGTCACACCACACCCTGATCGGCGCAGTTCGCAGCGAACTCCACCAAAGTGAATTCACCGCCGCGATCTGTCCTCAGCACGCGCAACTTCTTCTTGGACTCTACCTCCGCACACGCCTGGAACCTCTTGATCACATCGGCCACCTCGTCCTTGCTCGTCAGGAGTTGTAGCCACATGTAGAGACTGCAATCCATCACGATCAGAATGAAATACCGCCACCCACCGTATGGGAGCGTTTTACCTTGGCGAGAAGATGCCGCTCCTGATCGCGAATCCTCAAGATCCCGCTCTCGATCAGCACCTCGCACCCGCGCTTGTCCAGCTGCTCGATGCTGACGATGCTCGAGTGCAACTGCAAGATGTAGTATACATCTATCAGCGTGTAGTGCTCGCCGTTCTGACACCAGAAAATGATGGTGCCACGGCCTCGAATCTCCACCTTCGAGCCATCCCCGAACTTCATCTACCCCGTCACGTCGCCGTCGAGCTCAGTGAAATCCGCCTTGGAGCTGGTCATGTGGTTGCTGGCGTCGGAGTCCAGGTACCACCTCTGCTCTACCTCGCCGCCCACTCATCCAAGATGGACTTGGGTGCGCGGCTCTATGATGCCTTCCCGTGCTCCGCAACCGCCACCCCCTCTGGTTTCTCCTCTGCCTCGACGTCTTGCAGCGCACAGAACGTTGCCATCAGTAGAGTTGGCTCATTGTCGTCAACCTACGCCAGGTGAGCCTCAGCCTTCTTCTACGTCTTCGGGTTCAGGCACTCCTTGGCCTAGTGGCCAGTCTTCCTTGATGGCTACAAATGTCCCTGCCCGATGGCTCACTGTGTCCTTCTTCTTACGCTATCTGCTGCAGGGCCTTGCCGCGGCGCTTCCCGTCGCTGCCGCAGCAGGAGGAGCCTTCCCCGGACCGCTTCTACCACATCCGGGCAGTCCACTCCTCCTCGGTCAGAAGCAACTTGACACCGACCGATGTCGTAGTCGCCCCTGTGAGGTCGTTCACCGTCCGCAAACGCCCTGTCAAATCCTCAATCGTGAGGGTTGACATGTCCAGCATCGTCTCGATGGAGAGAGCAATCTAGGTGTATTTGGGCGGCACGACGTGCAGGTACATGGAGACTGACTCTTCGTCATCGATACAAATATAGATACCATTTTCTATATAACTAGCCAAACTCAGAGTTTGACTCCACAAGAAGCGTAATGTGCGTTTGTTTTGGGACGGATGGAGTAACATCTTGAAATTTAAAGGCGCTTTGCGATGGCTTTTTTCTATTCAAGTTCTTTGCAACAGAGTATAGGTTAATTACCTGCGGTAACCATTCACATCTGCTTGCATGGCCCAAATTGGGCACTCCTCATCTCGATTCGTGATCATATGGAACTGACTTTCGCCTCCACTGTAGATGCCTCCGTCGCCTCCACTCCATAACCCTGGGTGGAACATGCTTGGCGGCGTCGTCATTGTCACCGGCACAGCAACTGGCGGCCCCTGCTGCTGATCAATAGCGTGCGAGAATACTGGGAGCCTGTGCATCTGCGAAGACTGCGATAGCGTTCCCCACAGCTGCTCCATCTTCGACTCCGATACAGCCCTCCACCGGCCGAGACCACCAACAGATTAGCAGCCCCGGGCCATGAAAATTTCGAGCCAACATTCGGGGTGTCCATGCTGGCGAGCCCGTACAACTGTGGCAGGAGCGGCGACGCGCTGCTGCTCGCCGTAGCTTGTTGTGGAGTGGGCGCGAGCCGGACGACATTTGTGGTGCACGACGAAGTCATCACCAGTGCTGCAGATGATGCCGATGCTGCAGTGGCTGCAGCAGTGGGCTTGCTGCCCTTGGCTCGGCGGCGTCTGTACGGAGCGCCGACGGGGACGTCGCGGAGGGCGCCGCCGCGCGTCCAGTAGCGATGGCAGTTACGGCAGAAGTGGCGCGGTTGCGCGAAGGAGTAGTTGTTGAAGTAGCAAAACTTGGTGCTGGTGGAGTCACAGCGCGGGCACCTGAGCCCTGGCTCTGGCTTTGGGATCCTCAGCAGCTTGGAGCGCTCAGACATGGACCTCGGTTGGACGTTGGCTTGCGCTGCTGGGGCGCTACCATCGCGGCTTCCACCTCCTTCGGAAAGCGCTTCTGCGGCCATGGCTTGTCTATACTGGAGAAGATTGCCTTCACCAGCAACAACAGCTGATGCAGAAGGAATATTAATGTTACTAGTAGTAGTTGCCTGCTGCAGCTGCAAAAAATTTAAGATAATGAAACATGAATCAAGAGAACGATTTATATAGTATATTCCAAGATATAAATGATTTAGTTCGTCTACGATATATATCAGCAACGGTAACTATATGTATCTACATAATAGTGGTGCCATACATAAATTACCTTCTGGTTGCTATTCCAGCTTGTGGAAACTAGGAAGACTGGGGAAAGATCATATTTGTGAACTTAACTCTAACTAGCCACTTGTTGTGTGTGTTTGGGTCACTTGACTCCACGGAGTGATTGATTTATATATAGCAACTTCGAAGGGAACAGAAATGGAATCGCACTAGAGTGAAAGAGACTTGCATCTTGTCTATACGTACTCTCTAGCTATGATCTATGTCTTAGTCAAATCCAACGATCTATATCTTACTCAAGTCACACCAACTCACAGACCTATTTGTTTCGGGTTGTAGATTGCGAAAGCGGTCTATAGATTATAACAATCCATAAGCTTGGGAGCAGATTCTTAGATTTAATAATGAGTGAAATACTTTGGCGGCCCATTAACTTGTCGGCCTGTGACAATCCGGTCCACAAACTTGCAAACACGGAAAATGGGCCACCGAACTTGTCGAGTTGTTCACCACAGGTCCATTTCCCATCCGGCGTGGCCTCGAACAGCGTGGCGGTGCCAGCGTGGCGGACAAAGCACGTGAGCCGCACATTTCAATCAAGGCCCCTCACGTCGTGGTCGCCCCTACCTCCCGCTCCATGCGGGGACGAATCTTTGTCGCCCGGCAGCGCTAGGACCACACCTGGCGCACCCTTCTCCCGCGTCCCTGCACGACCCGAGCACCCGCGGACCCTTTCTCTGGCGCGCAGCCCCTCACCCCGAGCGCGCTCGTCTGCGGCGCCGAGTCGGGAGATCCGCCATTGTCGGCATGGGCCGAGCTCCTTGACCGACCTTTCCTCTCCTCCTGCGGTCTCTCTCTCCCTCTAAAATGGTGCCCAGAGTGTCGCATGAGCACTCCGCACTCACTCCGCTTCTCCCCGTGCTCCCTCTCTATCTCTACAGGCGCCTCCGCCTCATCCCGACCTAGCAGCATCGCCGCCGCCATTGATCTCCTCCTCTGCCGCTTTCCAACAGACGCGAGCTTGTCGACGAGCTTTGGGGCGTGCTAAGGCACCCTCTAGTGCTCCCGCGCTCTTCCTCTCCATCTCTGTGCATCACTCTGGCTCGCCGGAGCTGCGCCGCCATGGCTGAGCCGCCTCGCCGCACGTACCGCCGCCTCCGGACGTCCTCCGCCGAGGGGAATGTCCTAGGCGAGTTCACCTCGTCACGCTCTCCACCCCCGTGTAACCCGCATAGGCGCTAGCGCTCCACAACGCCACCCTGTCGAGCTCGCCGTTGCCGGCCATGGGTGACGCCGCGTCTCGCGCCTCCCGGTCCACCAAATAGTGAGGACTTGGCGCCACCCCTTGGCGTTCGGTATTGAAACATGCGGCTCATTTTAGCCGTCCGCCAAGTTGGCGCTGCCACGTCACACGGAGGCCGTCTTTGGATGGGAAATGGACTGCGGTGAACAACTTGACAAGTTCGGGGCCCATTTTCCGCGTTTGCATGTTCGTGGACGGTGGCACAGACCGACAAGTTAAAAGGCCGCCAACGTATTTCACTCTTTAATAATCTAACAATTGAATTGCCAAAATTTGAGGTGAGAAACTGCTTATTTGTTTCCACTTGTAATCAGCAGCGGATCGGAAATATTTTTCGGCTGAATTTGAACAACATTGTTGCTCGATTTTAAGTCTAAGCCCCCCCCTACACTATAGAACTTTGCCTAAAAATTCATGGGGGCTCCACAGGGGTTCCACTGCTCGATTTGGGTAGGGGGGCTTGAGCCCCCCCCCCCCCGCCCCCTTGGATCCGCCGTGGTATCATGCTTATTAACTCATCTACTACACATTGAAGTTTTGCTGGCCTAGTAAGATATACAATGAGATCATAGAACATATATAGTTATCTTGCACTAGATATCGCTTGGGCACGAACTGATATTACAATAGGTTGTAGCATAGGACATAATCTCTCACAGTATTTACGACAATTAGTTGTCTTAGATAGATATATCATAGAAAGTAAAATTATGATACTGTAAATCGCAGTGGTTGTATCTAATTGATGCATCACTGATGTGTCAGCTATAGAAATACAATACTATACTATATACTCCAACTTCCATTTAGAACATTGATTCGGTCTACAACACACGTTTTTTTTACCAAAAACGACATGGTTTTTGATTAAAAAGGAAATAGATATACAAATTTGAGTTGAAGAGAGCACGAACCGTGTGGTAGTTGGAACGCAAGATCACTCCTCCTTTGGTTCTTCTACGGAGTATGTAGCGTGACATCCATGTTTAAATCAATAATTCTAATCACGTTCGCAACACTACTATTCAAACAGGTATCCTGTCACATGAACATGTTTGCACTCATACCAAATGCTACTAAAAGTTGGAAGGTCACATCACCCATCCAATTGATTTAGCCAACCAAGCTGATCCTCATTTATACACTTATACTGTTAAGCCCCTTGGTTCATAGGAAAATGGAGAAAAATGTAGGATTGAAAGCCCTATAGGAATTCCTACTGTTCATTACTTTGGTTCATAGGTAGGGGCATCGAAGTAGCATAGGAAATTTTCCTGTGCCTGTCATTTTAGAGGAAAACTACAGGAAACTTTGGATTCCTCTTAAACATCTCGGTAAAATTCAATGCTGTTGCTAGTTAATGGTGGTTCTTGCATGTGGGGCCCTTGTCGGAGGATTATAGAAGAGAATTTAGCCATGTTCGACCAAGTAGTGAAAAGGGACAACTTTATCATCGTGGCTTAAAAATTGCTCTAGGATTTCTACATTTTTCTTATCCAAACGATCATTTCTTAAAAATTCTTATATTTTACATTTCTATTTTTTTGCAACTGTACTCATACAGAATTCTTATATTTTTCTCTATACCTCAATTTTCGCATTCGTATGGTTCAAAAGGCCCTCATACTCCAGCTGCACTGGGTCCTCTTCAAGAAAAAAAAAAAGACACATCTCAATTATAGAATTGCCTCGTAGACCCGGGAGGTGATGAGCGGACACGCTTCCCTATGCAACAAGTGTGGCCAGCTGCTTTGCCATCCTGAGGCCATGTCCATGTGCATCTCAGGCTCCTGGGTCTAATAAAGGCAACAGCAGCTAACTGTTTTCGATGGACCTCATTTATGAATGTAACGTATATATGCATGCAGCTAGCTAGCCAGCCAAGAGATAAAATGCACCAGGGTGGGTTCTACCTCCAAATGTGTCAAAAGCAAAATTTATCTTAATTCTAGAACTCATCCCATGGAGTGAAAAATTATTTTATGTTTCGTATGGATTCCGTACCTTGTTACTCAAATCTGTACTTTTACTAGGATTTTTCAATTTTTTACTAAATTGAACTTTCAAAAATTGTGATGATGCTGAGGCGCACTAAGTTTACATTTTCAATAAAACATTTCTTGTTGTCGGAAAAAACAATGAAATATCCTTGCCACGTATATGCGTAGGAAAAATAAAAAGACATGATACGTAATCTACCACACAGTATCCGGACTTGGAATTAGGCATCACTTGTTTATCATCATGTTCTTAGAAAACAAAAGCATTAGAAGTTTGTGTTTAGTACCTATAACTAAAAAAAATAGTTATCATTGTGCCCTCTTTTTTGTTTATTTTCTAACACAGTACATATAGATGCTTTGTAATATCTATCCGGTCGTGATAAACTTACAAATTACTCTCTATGTTTTATCCATCAATATCCATAGTTTTTCTCTCTCTGCATAGCACCTCCATCTATCCACAATATGCATATAATTGAAACATTTAGTTAAGTTATCGTGGCACTTGTTGCAGCTCATGTGTCATGATGTCATAAATATATATTTTGATTTTCAAAATTTGATCTTATTAGTTGTTACAAATGGTCTATCCTTAAGTTAAATTAAAACTATCTTTTACTCAAAACTATTATTTTGTATTTTATTAAAAATAAGGATTTTAGAACATAGACTGCACACTTTATTACTACGATGCCATGAACTGTCATTTAAGTCTACACTACGACGCTTAAGCTTGGTGGTAAAGCTTGAGGTGTGATCTATGAGGGCCAATTAATTGTTCTAACATTGCTCAAAAGGATATTAATATTTAAGTCTAACAATCATCATTTACTCCAATGAAATCTCAATGACCAGTGAGATCACAGCTACCTTTTGTCCATACTAACCTCCTCCATGCTTAAGATATTGAATTTCTTTATCACAGAATTATATATGTATTAGTATTTTAATAAAAAAGTATAGTGCTCAGAATTATACTATCAATTTATATGTCACAATATTTCCATTAAAATGTATGCACAATATGTATGTTTACTCTAAGTTAGTTTTTCTATATATTCATAGTAAGAAGTAGTTAATTTATAAACTTATATAGGAGTAACTTATGGTTATTTAAATATTTTTCATATTAGCAGACGTCGATAATTTACATGTAGATTTGAAGGATAGTTTAGTTTATTTTAATAATGGTAGAAGTAGTAATTTAGATGCAAATTTAGAGAGGTTAATTTAGATTATGTTAATGGATAGATGGGTAATTTAGATGTAAATTTATGGGTTATTTTAGATTTTGTTTCATAAAATGGATAGATGGGTAATTTAGATGTAGATTTAGGGCTTATTTTATGCTGTTTTTCATAACAGCATAGGTGAGTAATTTTTTAAAAGAAAAATGGATCCAATGTTTATTACTATCAATGGTTATTTCAGTCTACTGAATTGATAGCCAGATCTTTCTCATTCTTATGAGATATTCTAAGATTTATTCTTTTAGCTCATCTCATAAGGATTAACATGGAGTGGCCTCTAATTAGTAATACTAAGATTTTGGGGCCTCCAATTAGTATTCATACTAAGTTCTCTTTGCGTGTTGTGATAAATTCAAAAAGAAAGGTGGAATAGGGCAGGATGCCGCTTTGCCAAAAAATGATGTAATGTTATAAGCCGGCTGATGTTGTTTTGTTGTGAGAGAAAAACATTATATCATGGCTGATAAACATAGCTGATACGATCAAGCGAACAAGGTGGTAATTGAAAGATGGTGAGAATTTAAGATCAATCGGTTTGTCAGTTGTAGCTTGTGACGAGATTTTCATATAGGACAGGACGAAACCGTGATGGGTTAGTACAGCGAGCTGGTATAGCATAATAGGTAGTTACTGTCACCTATATGTCATTTTATATTTCATCACACAATGCATTATTGTACTTTATGCTGGACTAGCAAATATGCCCATTCATTGCAACGAAACGTACAACTTGCGGCGTGGTCACCTAGATGATTGCGGCCGGGAGATTTATTCGGCAATCGGGTCATGTGTACCAATTTTTAGAATCAGGCATTGTACTGTGCCTAAACATGCGCTATTCTAACCTGCCTCGACCTCAAACTGTCCAGGCGAGGGGCTCGTCAACTGTGGATAAGAGGCGAAATGTTAGGGTTTTTAATTAAGAAAATAGTTATCCATACAACTTCCTTAGGGTAAGTTCAGCTGACTCGGCCTATGATGAGTTAACAATTGGTTGATATCAGTCAGTGACCAAATTGGTCCGTCATCGCGCAGTCACATACATCGTGGCCTATGGTTGCAGCACTAAGCGTGTCCCTTGTGTGCCGACCTCAAAAATTGTGTCATGACCCATTCGCAGCTAAGCGGTGGTGCATGACCTCAAAAATTGTGTCATGGAGACTGTATGTGAGTTCGTCTACGTGACGTCATATGCTGGTACTTTGGCGTGTCCCTTGTGTCGTGGAGTCGTCCAACTGCTGCAGGCGCTAGGGCTGACGAGAAGAAAAGAAGAAAACGTAAGTGAAGAAGATGAGCTGGCTGGTGGATATAGTTGCTTGCATCCGTACGATGTGATGGCTAATAAGTGAGATGCAAAGAGTCCAAATGAAATTAATTACCTGCATCCGACACCACAAGGAAAACAGTTTTTAGAGAAGGGCATTCTGT